TTGAAAGATAAAACTAACTATAAATTTAAATACAGTTCAGGTATGTGTGAGAGACTTAAATGTTAATGATTGTTGACTCAAAACAATTGCCCATTTGCAGAGGCAGCAGGGTGCTTTGCTGAGGCCAGGTTTGCACTGGAGGAGGAGGTGAGGTTTTGGGTGTGTGGTGGTGAAGCCTCTGGTTCACATAAGACAGAGAGGGTGAACACCCACCACCAGGGGCTACAAGCTGGGCTTTGAGCCAGATAAGAGGCAGACTCTGTGGAGACAGGATGGTGCTTTTTATCATGTCAGTTGTCCTCCCTTACATTCACACACACCCCCTATCCCCCAGGGAATGTAGGTCTGAGGGTATTTATCCCTTCTGATGGGGCATAATTGGCTCAACTATACTGATGTGAGAGGCAGCTGTCATGTCTTAGAAGGGGCCATCACAGAATATTCTCAGTTGGAAGGGACCCACAGGGATCATCACATCCAACTCTTAAGTGAACGGCCTATACAGGAATCAAACTCACAGCCCTGGTGTAAACCATCAAAGACTCCTGAAGAATCCCCAGACTAATTTCTGAGGCCTTCTGCCAGAGGACTGAAAGCTCCCTCCAGGGGAGGTATCTGGGCCTTCCCACCTAGCCTGAGCGTATATTAACCCATCGGACTGTGTTTCACAGGCTTCTCCCACCCCAATGGATCAAGACTTTGACCATCAGACATTGAAATTGCAACAATCAAGTCTCGTCACAGAATTGTTGTTGGTGATACCCTTTCTTTGTCTTTCTTCCCTTCTTTTTCCTTATACATTTTCTTAAGTGATATTTTTATGCTTTTATATTGCCATATTACTATAGATAATATTAACCAAAACAGCTGCATACCTGTCTTCCATTGCAACTACTGAGTAGTAGATGGATGAAGACAGAAGAATAAGTAGAGATTACTGACACATGGGCTATTTCTGCTTATTGTAGAAGTTCAATTTTTTATAAGCACATCTCTCACTTTTCTAATTTCTCTATTTTCACTATAAAGCTTCTTTACTATGACATGAAGAATTTTTCCAGTGGCATCAGTGTGTTATCTTTATTGCAGCGGGGGGCTAAGAACTGGTAAATAACATCCATTACCCAACTTGTAAGAGCATTTTTTATTGATTTACTAGACACTAGTGTAAGACCCCAGGCTCGCCCTCTGAGCTCATTGAAGGAGTTATAGTTTAAAAATATACAAGGCTTCAAAAATTCACTTGCAGAATTATTAAAATGGCCTTCAGTTCTTTTATACCTTGAGAGGGCACATGGGAGAAGACGCTACACGCATTTTCTCAGGAGGTAAAATAACACGCTTTTATTGGCAAACTTAAAAAAATAAGGGAACTTGGCAAAAGTTTAAAGTTTATTTAGCCAGAATAAAGCATTCCACAAAGCATTGACTTAACACATGCTAAACCATACAACTTAGCAAAATCCAACCCATCTGGTTTTAAGTTACCCAAAATATCAAGAAAGGAGATTTGAAGAAGAAGTAAAGTGTGAGAAACAGTCTCTAAATATTCCCCAATTTGTGAGAAACAGAGTCTCGGGATATAATCAGTATTCAAATTGGAATTTATTATATGATAAAAGCAAACAGCATGCTGGGCAACAGAAAGATTCTGCGTGCCTGATAGAGTATTCGACTAACATTTATTCTAGCTACTTCATGCATATTTATTACATGATATACATATACATTTACCATATGTTTATTTTCACAACTAGAGCTAGGTTGTTATCTCTGCAACAGTGATAGTTCTCCTATAATTCATAAATTCTTAGACTACAAGACTCCTAAAAGATCATATAATTCATTTTAGGAAAGCAGAGATGGTTTATAGCTTTTGACCTTGATGGCCTTACAAATGGTCTGCTTTATTTCTTTATGGGGGTGTTATTAAGTTTTACAATCTGTTTGTTTTATTCTTTTATTGACACGAATTTATGGCTATGTATATGACAAAAGAAAGAGAGAGAAAAAGAGAGAATTATAGCTACCACCTGGAGTCCCATGCAAGTCCAGCTTCCACATGTCCAAATGCTAGAATCCAACCAGAGACCACATGATTTTGGTTTTATCTGCTCTAGCCTGATGTGGCCACCCCCCCCCCCCCCCCCCAGGTGGGACTTCTGGCCCACTGGCCATTCTGGGGCTCTGGGGCGGAGTGAGGGGCAGTGTGTTAGCCAATCTGAGGCTGGTGTAAGGGCTCCAGGGGGTGTTGTATGGGGCAGTGCTCCTGGGCTGCTTTTGACTGACAGCTGCTCCGGGGCTGCCCAAGGAGGCTCCAAGGGGTTAGGGTATGGAACAGAGCACCACCTCACCTTCCTGAAATTCAACCTGTCTCTTTCACCAGGGTCTCACAACTTGTTTAAAACAGAAATAGTGCTAGAATATAGAAGAAAAATTACTTCAAGATGTGAACAATTATTAACAAAGAGTAAGTGATGAGGTGAAAATGTAATTTTCCTCTGCTCTTGTACACATGCAATCATGAAGTTCTTAATTTTTTACATTCTACATATTCCATTTATCTGCTCCCAGAAATACTGAAATCAATACCATATTAATAGTAAAATAAAGTAATTCATCCTTATCTTTTGTCTGTAGTACTCAGGCTCCCAAATGCCTCCAAAATTTAATTGGAATCAAGTATATAAATCCAGTAGATCACTTTTAAAAGATATGCCTAAAATGATGAATATGCAAGTTAATATCCCAGCAAGGTATCTGTGAATTTATGAAACTGGCACCTCAAGAGTAACTGTTTTGTGCAGTCTCTACCCAGAAGCACAAGCATCAGTTTATACTCATTTCCTGTTCAGAAAGTAGCTCTCATGATTCCAAAGAAAAAACACCTTGCAGTATATACCGAAAATGAACTCTGCCGAACACAGTTTAGCCCCTTTAGTTGACTGCAGTTTAAACTCCTTGGCTAAAAATCATTAGCCATTTTCTTAGTATAAGCAACTGACAGCAGAAAAAGAAAAAAAAGTTCTATACCTAGATATAAAAGGATTCTCTACCTGTGAAATTACAAATCAACGCTACTGTCTATGAGCTTAGTAGCATATAAAAAACCCAGAAATTGCATATTTTAAATCATCTTCAGGTTTTCTGCTGATCTTTTTTTAAAAAACAGTCAGCAAGTCTTATACAGTTCACTGAATTTCCCATCCATTTTTAACAGAAAACACAGTTTCTGTAAAGCTCTTCAATCACCTGTTAAATAAACTATTGGTGTAGTCTCAGTTTTTGGTGGAAACAAAAGTAGATATTAAGTTTCAAGTCAACTTGATGTTATGTGTACTTACTGTAAGTTGCTATGCAGGAGTCATATCCTCATCCTGCTACTGTAGCTCATCAGCATTTTGTTTCTTTTTTTTTTTTTTCAGGAAGGCCATTTACTTTGAGGAATTGGTATGATCCCATATGTTGTTATTTTTTTTTAGTGAATACTGAAAGAAAAAAGAATCCTCGTCACTTCACGCTCTGCAGCAAATGTGAGCATTGTGCACCTCATCGCTTGCAAAAAATGAACCGGGACAGATGGCCTAACACCAGCTTTTTTATAGACCTTTTCGACACCAAGACAAACACAACGCGTTAATTGCGTGGTGGCACGGAGCCCTTCATCTTGGGCTACCAGAGCGGTTCCAAGCCGGACCACCTGTGAAGTCAGTCGGCTGCATGGAGTTCGCATCGGTCTACAACCAGCCCAAGGGAGCCCCTGGTGGTCTAGAGGGTAAAGGCGCTGCGCTGTTGCCGCAGAGACCCGGGTTCGATTCCCGGTCGGGGCCACTCCCCGGGCAGATGGAGCTCGTTAGCCCTGTAAGGCAATCCATCTACGTCCTGAGGACCTTGCTGCCACCGTCCAAGCTCGCTTGGCCCCGGCAGATGAACTTTAGGATTAAAGGGTGGGCTCAGTTCCGCGCACACTGTGTCTCACCTAAAAAATCCAATGCGCAGGCTGGAAGGTGTAAAGACCATCCCCGGTTCTTCGTTCGCAAAGACCGGCCATTTACTTTTACTACAACCAGCCCGCACACAAACGCGTACACAGCGCGCGCGCGATTATCGAGCCAGCACACGCCAGGCACAAGGGACCGGGGCCCACCCCGCGGCCCAATAGCCGTAGATACCGTAGTGCCTCTAATAGAAGGGAAATATGAGTCGCGCCTCACTGAGCCACCTCAAGGGCTTGTTGCGGGAACGCGTGGGTTCAGCCACCCCAGATCCTGCCCCAGAAGAGCAGAACCCCGATTATAACACTCTGGTTTCGCCCATTTCAGCCCGCCTCTGATGTAGGAGCCCAAGCCAGGCCACTCGACCCCATATGGACCCGCCCGTAGGCACCTTCTACCTGCCCTCCAAGGCGCCTCTACCGCTTCCCAGCAGCCCTCAACTCCTGCGGAACTCCAGCGAAAGGTGGGCGTCGCTTTGTTCCCCCGGGCGAGGCGCTAGGGGCTGACCAGCCCCCACTTTGTTGCGGGTGAAAGTGGCCGCCTCAACCGTTACCGTACTTTCCGTCTACGGAACATAGTTCTCCTCACCCACTCCCCACCAGTTTTCCTAGCAGAGGTGACCAGATTGAGACCGCAGCGGCCCCGCCCCCGCATTCCATTCCCTATATGGTGTCAAAGAGGGGCACCGCCAGCCACGCTCCTCTTTCCCACCAGGCGTGCGAGGCACTCTCGGGCTTGCGCGTGTGACATCGACATATCGGCAGGGCGTCCCTGCACCAGGAGCGCGCGCGCACCATCCCTCGAGCCTTCCTCGAGCTTTTCTATTTATGTTTATGGCGCCGATTTGTATAAGGCTCCGCTCACTCCGTGGGCGAGGCATCTGGCACCGCCCCTCGCGGCCATGTAAGGGAAGAGGGGGCGTGACCCAGGGGTGGCTCCCGGTCTTCCCGATGCCGTTTTATAGGGTATATCCACTTCCGCTATCTGCTTCGAAGCAGTGCGATCATGGCGGAGCGTGGTCAACTCCCTTTCCCCGCTAAGCGCCTCTGCTGCAGACCAGGCAATGGCTTGGCGTGCAGGCTGGGCCAGCGGGTGGGCGGTACTGAACTCGGCAGCGGGGCGCTCTGCGCCGGACCTTCCTCCGCAGCTGCTCCTGTAGCTGCTGCCGCCGCCGCCGCCGCCGCCCTGGGGCTGCTACCGCTTGGCAAGACCCAGAGCCCCGAGTCTCTGCTGGACATCGCGGCTCGCAAGGTGGCGGAGAAGTGGCCCTTCCAGCAGGTGGAGGAGCGGTTCGAACGGATCCCGGAGCCAGTGCAGCGCAGGATTGTCTACTGGTCTTTCCCCCGCAGCGAGAGGGAGATCTGCATGTACTCCTCCTTCAACACCGGCGCCGAGGATCTCGCTACCGCCCCCGGGGGGGCCGTCGCCGGCACCGCGCCGGGCGGGGGCGCGGACACCCCCGCCGTCGACGAGAACCGCCTGCCTTTTCGCAGGGGCATCGCTCTTCTAGATGGCGACTGTGTCGATAATGTCCTGCAAGTCGGTGAGTTACCGGCCGGGACCGCGTTGCGGAGCCGAGCCGCGGCCACCTGGACAGGGTGCTGCAGGCCTCCTCAGTCGCGGGTCACCCGCCTGCTATCCGGGGCGCTGCCTTTCTTCCTGCGCGGCCTGGTGGCCGGAGCCACCCCACCTCCTCGGCGCGTGTGGCTGGGGAGCTCCCCCCAGCGGCTCCCCCCCTCCCCCCCTTCCCCCGCGGTACGGCCTGCACTCTCAGGCTGCAATTCGGGCTGGGCAACTTCCTCTGGCAGTCTCCTCCTCCTCACGTCCAGAATATGGAATAACTCCTTCGCTCTACTCCGTGACGTATCCCCGGCGCCCGCCGCCAACAGTCGGCCAGGTCTCCGACGGGGTGGCCGGGCACGCTGCCCCTCGCCTGTCCCTTCAACTTTCCCGACGCGTTGTGTCCGCTCCCTGAAATCCAGAGTGTGTAATCCCATTTCATTCTGCTCCCTCCCAGCTCCCCACATATGGCAATCCGGGTCATCACTATACCCCGAGCCACAATGGCAAGGAGATGCCTCCGCTCCCCCCTCTTCGGGACCGCTGGTGGAAGTGAATCAGCAGAAGGCGGACGACGGGGGGAGGGGGCGGGATGAGCCGCGGTCCAAAATAAGGAATTAAAAGAGGATGGGGGCCTCCGGGAGCGGGTGTGCGGTGCGGGGGAAGCTGCAAACAAAGGCATTTCTAGGGCGGTGGCAAGTCGGAGGGTGGAGGTGCGATCTGCCCAGGCCCCACTGCTGGGGAGAGGGGAGTGAGTAGATGTGATGGCGGGGAGCTGCTCCAGCTCAGGAGCAGAGGGGCCCACGAATTACTTTAGGATGAGCCCCTCCGTGACAACGGCGAGGTGAGAAGAAAAGCGCTGCGCTTTCTTCTCGTGGAACAATGCTTCCCTCCCCCTTTCCGCTGCTGCTCCCGCACCCAGCGGCCTTCGCCTGCCACTGTTCTTCCCTCTCTGCGGGCTGGCACCCCTGGTTAACTACTCTCTACCTCTGTTTAAAGGGCACCGGAGGTTGGTACTCTCCGCCCCGACGGAGAGTATGTGAGCTGCTCCCGCCACTCGCAAGCAGGCCCCGTTGGGGTGGTGGTTCTGTGGGGAAGGGGTTTATGGCTTCCCCTGGAAACTTCCGTGGGGGGTGCTGCGCTGACGCTTTGTGCGGCCCGGGCGAATTGCTGTGCAGCGGTGTCTCGCGGAGGAGGCGGCGGCAACTGGACACTTTGTTCTCACTTTCACGTTTGTGTTCTTATCGGTTTTCTGCACACCCCCCCCCACACCCCCCTCAAAGGGGAAACCGGACAAAAGACTTTATTGCTTCTCACTGCCGGCTGCCGGCTCGACAATCGGGGCAGGGCGGGACGGCGGCTCCGCGCGGCCGGTCATTCCGTCCCGCCCCGTGCTGGGCCGGATCGTCCTCTGGCGGTGGCTCGGCTCAGCTGTAGCTGCTGCTCGCCTTTTCGCATCGCCATGGGGGGCTGAGCCGTGCCGAGTTGTGGCGGCAGACGCTGATCCCGGTGCTGTGCCTCGAAGTCGGAGGGTGCTGGGCTCTCCCTCGGCCTTGTCCGCAGCGGATTTCACTTCGCGGGCATCCTGCAAAATTGCCTTCTACTTTCTGAAGGGAAGCTCTGTTGCTGTTCCTGGGTTAAATGCCTTCTGCCTCGGTGGAGTTTCAGCGTTTGGCTGTTTTTTCGTAGTTTTTTTTTTTCTTCTAATTTTTTTTTTATTCTGGAAAGTTTTAAGAGAATTTTTGAGTTTTATAAAATTATTTTTTTTTTAAAGTTAACTTTCTTATAAGTTTAATCTTTTGGCTTTTTTTTTTCAAAGGTCGGAGGTGCATCTGTGGTTCCTCAGGACTGGCAAAAACAGAAGTAGGGGCTTTTTTAGTTTGATTGGCAGTGCTGAGACTTTTTTTTTCCTCTTTTGCTTGCACTTGATTCTCTTTGCAAGCCATGAAGAATGACAGGAGTGCACATAGGGAGGGTTTCTTGGTTGATTACATTAAGCTAGGAATTCACTGTGAAAATAAAGCCAAGGGATGATAAATAAAGATGAAGTCTTCTAGGATGCCCAGTGTGGGCTTGGCTTTGCTTGCTTTCAGCAGTGGAATAGGCCTCAATGAGTAGTTGTGAAAGAAAAAAAAGAAATTTTTTTCTTTAGCTTCAAAAGTGGAGTGATGTTGGCAAGGGTCAATGTGAAGAAAGAAAATATACATAAATAGAACTTAAATGTTGACTGCTGCTTCTGGACTCCTTAACTGCATTCTAAACAAATGCTATACCTACTGCTGAAAATACTTTTGGTTGAGTTTGGTTTTGGGATTTTTGTTTGTTTGTGGTTTTAATTTTTTTGTTTGTATACCCTATATGAGCCTGTTTTGGAAGGCTGCACAAAAATAGTGGAAGCTGGTGATATGAAACATCAATTGTATTGTCAAGGGCATTGCCCAAATGCTTTAAACACTGACAGGCATGGGACACTGTTCCTGCTGTATTTAGCATTGGCACAGCCTCACCTCTGGTACTGTTCTGGGCCCCCACAATTTAGGAATGATGTGAAGGTCCTTGAATTGCCCCCAGAGGAGGGCAACAAAGCTGGTGAAGGAGCTGGAAGGCATGTCCTGTGAAGAGCAGCTGAGGACTCTGGCTCTGTCTAGTTTGGAGAAAAGGAAGCTGAGGGGTGACCTCATGGCTCTCCCCAGCTTCCTGCAGAGGGGAAGTGGAGAGGGAGGTGCTGAGCTCTTCTCCCTGGGATCCAGTGACAGGATGCATGGGAATGGTTCAAAGCTGCACCAGGGGAACTTCAGACTGGACCTGAGGAAGCCTTTTTTTTTGGAGAGGGTGGTCAAACACTGAAACAGGCTTCCTAGAGAGGTGGTCAATGCCCCAAGCCTGTCAGTGTTTAAGAGGCATTTGGATAATGCCCTTAATAACACGCTTTAACTTTTGATCAACCTTGAATTGGTCAGGACTAGAATTTTTAATTTTTTTTTAAGGAGAAAATGAATTGTAAACCACTTCACATTCTAGTTCTTAAAACAAGGAGTCTTCTGTTCTATAAAAGTTTAAATTTTTCTTTGTTTTGGATCAATTTTCATGTTTCTCACATTTCATTTTTTTTCCTTAAATTCAAGGCTTTCCTTGCTCCCAAGAAACTAGTTTCAAAGTTTGCTTTCAGTTTAGGAAAGTAATTCCATCTTTGTATATGATCAGATGTTTTGGTATGTAGCAATTCTTGAATTTGAGCTACTTGTCATGCCAACAACTGATGCTTTTGTGCCTGTGTGCTCTCTCTGCACTCTAAGAGAGGAACAGTTAATTTAAAGCAATATCTGTGAGGGTAGGCTGAAACAATTTCAAAGTTGGCATTGGACAAATTGGTTTCCTTAAAAATCAGTAACTATTTGCAATGTTTTGCCATATAATTTGCTTTTTTGTAATGAACCTGTTAGATCTCCCAAAACTAGAGCAAGTTTTTGTCTCCTTGAAATTCCAGTTTTTCCTTTTGGTTTACTATCTAAAACTACCCATGTAAAAAACTTCTCTTAACTGAATATGCAGCTCTTTACATGGTTTCATAACCTTCTGTGACCTGTATCACTAGAGATATTGGCTGGTATTGTATGCTGGTTTACACTCTCCTTCTAGCTACATGCCAATGATGATTTATGTGATGCCCTTGTGATGCATTACCATGCTCTCCTCTGAGGTAGCAATATGCATTGTCTTTGTTGCCTTAGCCCCACTATTGAAGACAAGGACATCTAAAAAACTTGTATGTCACTATCTTAAAATAGATTTTTTCTGACTTAATTCTGCAAATGCATAAACAGATCGGAGGAATGTAGCCTTTTAATAGTACCTAAAGTACAGAGAATTCTTTTGTGGTCAAGTGAGAAGTGCTAAGAGGCCTGCTGTAGGAGTTGACCGTGAAGGTCTGGTGCTAATTGAAAGGATGCAGTAAAACAACTCAGTTTAAATTCACACTAGCAGAACTAGCTGATCAGATAAATCAGAAGATCATTTACTAAATTAATGTGCTAAAAATTCAGTTGATTTACTTTTTTTCCTGCTTTATTTAACAATCTGCCTGTTTACATAAGTAATCTTTCATTGTTAATTGGTGTCAGACCTTTAATAAATTAAAGAGTTGTCAGAAAAATAAGGGGGGAAATGACACTATAGATAGAAATTTCACAGAAGTGGGCATTAATTAATATATATATTCTTTTTTACAGAGTTATTGATGTTCAAATGATCATTTTAAAGGCTGGGAAAATCAAATGTTGCATAATTGTATGACTTTTAAGAAGTGACACTGAACACATTCTAAGTTTAACTGCTAACTGGTTACTGACAGCTCGCTAGTAATGCAGATACAGTGCGGGAACTGTGCAGCTGACTACAATCTTTAATTTATAATGACTAATGGATAAAAAACATTCAACCACTGAGGCACTCAAAATTCAATCGAGACAAATTTACAATCTGTAGTACAATAGAGGATCAAGTTTGCATGTATTCTAATTATTTCCGTATTTTTAAACTCGTGTTAAAAGCAAGATTTTGGGTTAAAGGCTTTTATCATCACTGTCTCTCTCAGGTTTGTTTCCTCATGCTTAAAGTGTGATTCTTTTATACTAGTGACTTGTATTCTCTCTGCATACTAGTGTTCAGCTATGCGTGCAAGGCATAGTGGCAGCACAAACTTCAGCAAATTGGCTTCTAGCTTACCCTTGCCAAGAGCAACTGGTGTGCCTTATTAATATTTAATTTTTACATTGTGTTGATATTTTGACTGGGCCTAAAGCTCATAGAGCACCAGTCCACATTCAGTGATTAGTGATGGTATTGATAGCGCATTTATGGTAAGTATAAATAAATGTAGGCAGTATGGTCTTCAGGATTTCATATACTTAGGAGCTGGTCACTTTTGCCACTTACCTGCAGTTTTGACCATAAAAGGATGGCCAATAAAATGACTGTGTTAAA